TTCTAATCCATGTATTGTTTGAACTTTGAAATGGATGCCTCCTTCCTTCGACAGGGAGCTATTATGGGACCGTTGATCACGACGGTTGTGATCGCTTTGAAAGATCTATACGCCGAATTCGTTCTCGAAGAATCAAAGAAAAAGGACTAGAAGAAGAAAAAGTAAAGAACACCATCTCCTTCAACAGGTTTGCTTTCCATTGTAGAGAGCTTAATGTACATTAGTACCTCTCGATTCCAACAATTTCAAAGAACAATTCTTTGCCTGCCAGTCCAATTGTATTTATTTTTTTCAATCTGCATGCTGTATTTACGCCATTTTTTATTTATCCATTTGGCACTAGGAAATCGGGAATCTTTTTTCTCGGGAAACAAACGACAATTGTTATGTACCCTCTCCTCATCCTTGTGTTTGGCAATTTGCTTAAAAAAAACACTACATTCTTTGTTGTCTGTACTTGAACATGTAAGAACTGGTAAAGCCAGTGTTTGGATTGAGAAAGAATATGTGTAGTTTTTTTACTCGATTCTTTATGACATACATATATAATGTATAATGATAGAAGCATCAAAAAGGAGAAAGAAACATAATATTTTCCAGGAAAAAAAAAGGAAAAGGAAAACCAGAGATGGACAGCGCTTTGCATAGTAATGTTAGAACAACTAACTCCTAATCTTATGTTTTGGAGGAATGCTGAATTATATATATTTAGTTTTTAAATGAAATTAAACTAACATCACGATGTCAAGCCTTTTATTAAATTGTTTTTATATTAAATTTAATTTAATGAACAATCCCTAAGGACCCTAGCCTATTGGAGTTAAAATTTTCATTTATTGTGTAATAATAATGCTTAAAATTCATTATATGGTAATCATTATCATGAACAGTATTATTTCAAAAAAAATACTAATTTTAGGTAAAAATTGTCATATTTTATTAAACCTTAACGTCTTTCTAATTCATGGCATGGGCAATACAGACACTTGTCCATAAATATATATAAAAATTGAAGGGTAAACCATATGTTTAGTCGATCTTATTTCGTTTTAGTATCTAGATTTTTATTTGTTTTAAAAGTGTGCCTAACGTTTACTTTTTGTTTCATTTTAGTACCTATCCGTCAAACTTTTACAATATGATACTTTTTTATGGGTAAATTATATCAATCATCACTCAACTATCTTCTCACTCCTATTTTGGTCATTGAAGTTTAATTTTTTTAATTTAATTACTTAACTTTCAAATTACTCCTAACTTTCAAATTTAAATTTTTATTTTAATTATATATTAATAAAATAAAAATAAAAATGTCATGTCACAGAATTATTAATAAAATAAATTAGAGTGATTAAAACATGAGCAATTTGAAAGTTGGGTAGTTAAATTGAATTTTTTAAATTTTAATAACCAAAATAGGAGTGAGAAAATATTTAAGTGATGAATGATGTAATTTATCCATAACACGTGCAACAATTCATTAAATTTTTAACGACAGGAACTAAAATAAAATAAAAAGTAAACATTAAGTCTAGTTTTAAAATAAATAATTATTTAGATACTAAAACGAAACAAAAAGAATAGGCAGCTCAATTAAGATGAGTACTGCACTCGGACCTAAGAGGTTACAACTCAGTTTGATGTTATAAAACTAATTTTTTTTTAGAGAAAATTAATTTTGTGGTGATTTGTTAAAGTTCAAGTCAAGTTCAGATTTAGAGTAAATTTTTTATTTGATTTTATTTTAGATAATAGTATAATTATAATAACATTCTTCTATTTGTATGTTTTCAATTAGATTTTTATTTTATTAAATAAAAATAAATCGGACTAGATATGATTTTTTACCTTAAAAAATAATTTAAATTTCAAATCAATTAAAAATCTTCTTAAACCTGAATTAAGCTCGGATAAGACAAAAACTCACGTAACGTGTCCTAATCTAATGTCTAACCCTAATTTTTAATTTGATTAGACTGACTTGACTTTTAGAAAATAAATAAAATATTGGAAACATGAATGACCCTCCACTCGACACCTCAAAAGCTTTGAAAAGGTTTAATTCCTGTAAATGAATTAGAGTATGAATTAAGGGTTCGATTTTCCTTAATTAATTAAGAAAAAAAAACAAAAAAGATAGTAAGGTGTTGCTTCAAAAACATATCAAAAGAAGAAATTATTTCACATACCCTTTCCATCACAGTATTAGTGATTTCAATCTATTAAACGTGTCTATATCAATTTTTTTCCATGTTATTTACGTATAAGGATTTTATTTTTTAAATCAGTTTCTGCATCGATGCATATTTAAATTAAATTTAAATTTAGAGGTTGTCTTAAGATCTTCATTAATAAATATAAAGATCCCTTAGTGATTACAGCAATAGAGCCGGCCGCTGCGAGAACCGATATAATCAAGCAAGCCACGACAAGGACGTTTAGCCATATCCATTTCTAATAAAATGGTCAAATTTTTCTCGGCACTGAAAGTATAATCCCCAAGCAATGGAAACTTAACTGGTCTACTTCCTTCTATGAACTTATTATTTGACCATTCGTTTAAGCACCGATCTTCCACCTGCTTAAATATTGATTGACAGAATATCTGAAAGGAAAAAGAATTTTCATACATAAAGGTCCCAACCCCAACCTCTTCTTCATTTAATTTTGTCTTCATAGAGCTGGTAAGGACCATATAATCTGCATCTTGAGGTTTGGGTCAACTTGTTTGTTGGCAGCAACATCTAGTCCTTGGTATGTAGGTTATCTCTTTTTTACTGGCAATCCAAAGTTCGTATTTTTGTTTCAACTTTCAGTCTTTTGTACAGAGGTAGGTACACTACAAGGAAAACTCCATAGTAATCTATTTAAGCTTAAAATTGTTTCTTCTTCCATGTACAAACGATTTAACCTAATTTCTTCAACGTTCATGTGCGATTCTGATATATATTAAGGCATTGTTTTCGTAGGTTGAAGTTTTTGAGCAATGGAGTTTCTTCATATAACCTGGTAGCCATAGCTTACTCAATATGAATGTTGCTAACAAAAAAATCCTAAAATCGATCCTTAAATTTAAGTTTAATTTAAATATGCATTAATTAAGAAAATGGTTTCTTTGCATGTAAATGACATGGAAAAAATATTGATATAAATATTTTTAATTAGTTAGTACCATTTATAACGTGGTGGAAAAAATTCGTAAAATAACTTTTCTATCGAAAGAGTTTTATGCATCCTAACTTAAGACGGTGATTTTATGTTAAAAAACCCTCAATAATTAATTATTTGAAAAAAATACCACCCAAAGAGTATTATTTAGAAAAATAGCCCCTAAACTGTTATCGTAAGATTGCTCGTATTCTAAAAAAAGGCGTTTTAAAGACCCGGCATTTTGCAAAACGCGGGATCCATTAACTTTTTTGACAATTTCATTTAATTTATGGATAAAAGACATAAAACTTGTTTTTCGTAAAACGTGAGATTATAGTTGTTTTTTATAAGATGCGAGATTTAGGGTTCATTTTTTAAAAAATTGATTGGAGGTTCCCCCAAAAATATTGTTTGAGAGTTATTTTTTAAAATAATTAATTATTTGGGGTTTTAACGTAAAAACGCCACTTAAAACTTTAAAATACATAACCCTGACTCTGTTCTACAACTCAATTAAACTGAAATTATAAGATAGTACAATGAGTTTTAATCTCGTACATTTATTTAAACTCATTAAATTATTATATTTTCACATAAAACTATTGAATTAACAAATGATCTTATAAAAGTAGTAAAACAAAATTACCAACTCTCGAAATGAAAGACAAAAATCACAATTCAACCTATAATATTAATAAGTGGATTATTTAATTTAATTTAAGTTGATAAATTAAAGAAAAAACAAAGCATATCAACAGAAGGCAGTTACCTACTAAGATTTGGTCCTCTGGAAGGTGCAACAAGTTTAACTTCCGATTCCAAGCTTAAATTGATATTGATTTGAAGAAACAATATAAAATAAAAGGTGGTCAAAGTCGTTCGTCTCTTTCGGCCATGGCCTCACCAGTGGGGCTCCCTTCCATGAATTCATGTTTCAATCATATTACACGTTATTATTAATATTATTATTTATAAACTGGGCTTATATTATGTGTACATTTCAGTTGGAAGATCAAACAAGGCACCTTTGCTTGCCCTAATCCAATTTTCCATTCACAATTTGCCAACAAGCTAATCTCACATGATCGACCTAGGGTTTTTTAAGCTTTAGTCACAAGTTATGGTTACATCACTTTGAAAACAATTTGTTTTTAAAAAATTATATAAATTTGATGTGAATGAAAAAAATATCTAGAAATGAGATTAGGTTGAAAATAAAATTAAAGTTGTACTCTTTATGGAGAAAGACACATAAGGGATCTTTGTAGTATTTGATATGGATTAATAGTCAACGGATTAAATATCAATGGTTATAAACAAAAAAAACTTAAAATGTATCAAATATTTATCTTTTTTCTTTTTGTAAGGAAAGACTCAATTGATAAATCATCCTTAATGTATACCCTTTTTTTAATTTGTTACATGAACTACTTTTGATATTAATATGAGAAAAGAAGTATAATTTAGGGACAATATGTCAATTAAGCCTAAGAGAAAATACAATTGTGATGACCATCCAAGACTTGATGTATTTCATGCGTGAAACAGATTTTGTCGTCTCATAAACCAAATTAAGAAAAAAAATATTAGCGGGGGTTTCCATTTCTAAATAATTAGTTAAAACCAATTAAAAGAAAAAAAAAAAGGTTTATGATGTAATGTTGTCTGTTTAACAAAATCATGCTATAATTGTAATACGGATTATGGAAATGGAACAACTCGGTTGGATTTGGTGGCCAACTGCCCAACACCACTGCACCCGCCATAATTCAAAATATATATAATTATTTATATTAATTGAATAATTCTAAAAATTTTAGGGGAAAAAACAAATAAAAAAAAGAAGGGAAGAACATTTGCAGTTGGTGATGTTGTCGTCTCAGCTTTGCTTACTAGAGACACAAGATCCTGAGGGAAGTTAGGCCAGGGGTTAGCTTCTCTCCAAGTTTCCCTCTTTTTTTCTATTCACTTGGAATCAAAGCAAAGGTTTTTTTCAGTTGATTCTTGGTCACCATCTCCAACCCAACTTCACCTTCCTCTCTGCTCTCCACTCCCTTCCTATTTCTACTTTCATTTTTATTCTACTTTTTCTTCATTCTGACACCTTGGGTTACCTCTTTTTCTAGGTTTAAGTCCTTGTATTTGTGTTCTTCTTTATTGGTTTTGAGCAGCCTCAGATGCACAGGCTTCTGGTATTTTGTTTCTCAACCACTTCATATGATTGTTGTTTGCTCATGAAAATCTTGCTGCTATCGTTTCCCCCCGTATAATATTTGTGATTCATCGGTTTCATGCGACTTGTGTTGAGGAGGTATTGCCGTATTGATGCTATTAGAGTGGCTGAATTCATTTAGTTTTTGGAGTTTGTTTTAGAATCATGAATACACGTTACTTGTTTCAACCGGATTCGTTCTATGATTCGAGCGCCGCTATTTCGTCGAATTCCCCTGGAGGAGAAGATAGGACGGCTGCGGCGAGTTTGCGGAACAGGCCTCATCGTGCCGCGTTGTCTTCACTCTTGATAAGGGTGGCGATAAGGATGTCTAGAGCGAGGTGGTTTACGTTCTTGAGAAGAGTCTTCCACTACCAAAACGGATCGAGGTCTGACCTCGGGTCCAATCCTTTCAATTCCGGTACTTGGATGATGCTGGAGTTATTGGCTTTGGTGATTCAGATTACCATCACCACATTCACTTTGGTCATTTCGAAGAAGGAGAAGCCTGTTGTGCCTATGAGGATATGGATTGTTTGCTATGACATCGGTTGTGCCCTCAGTTTGTTACTTCTTTACGGTCGCTACCGCCAACTTCACATCACGCAAGGAGACGGTTTTGGCCTTTCCGACATCGAGCAGCAGAGGACGAATGAGGAATCGAGGTAAGCTTCTTATCATTTGATTCAATCTTGCTGTTGTTGTTCATGTCTCATTAGGCCCTATCATATTAGTGTTGGAAACTGGAACATATATGCCGAAACCCCAAATTAATTGAGATGTAGTATGTTTAGGTGCTCACATTTGATGAACAAGTGCCGGACATCGCTAGAGCTGTTTTTCGCGATTTGGTTCGTGATGGGGAACGTATGGGTGTTTGATTCTCGATTCGGATTCTTCCATCAAGCTCCAAACCTTCACGTGCTCTGCATCTCATTGCTAGCTTGGAATGCTCTGTGCTACTCTTTCCCATTCCTGCTGTTCCTACTCCTATGTTGTTGTGTGCCACTCATTAGCAGCCTCCTAGGTTACAACATGAACATGGGTTCCACTGATAGAGGGGCATCGGATGATCAAATCTCCAACCTGCCTAGTTGGAAATACAAAGCAATCAACACCAACTCGGAGCTCGATCATGCTTCGGACTGCACCCCGAGAAACGCAAAAGAAGATCCAGTAAGTCACATCAATTCCTATCGTCGAAAATTGGTATATAAATATACATATCTTGGAGCCTAATGGTGTTCATATTGTCCTGTTGACAGGAATGCTGTATTTGCCTAGCGAAGTACAAAGACAAAGAAGAAGTGAGACAGTTGCCATGTTCACACATGTTTCACCTCAAGTGTGTGGATCAATGGCTCAGAATTATATCTTGCTGTCCTCTTTGCAAACAAGAACTGGAGAGATAGAATTATTTCTTCTCCTTACTTACATTCACTGTGGTGTGATTTATTTTATTTGTATAATCACGAAGGTTACTTGAGTGGGTGTATATTGTTTTGTACACTGAATGCTCACCAGTAACCAAGTTTTTTTTCTCTTTTTTTCCTGGAAAATTTATACTGTTTCTGAGAGTATGTATAGCAGATAGCAAAAAAGAACGATGAATTTATTAATTTGGTTAATATCCCAAACTTTTCTACACGGAATAATCAATTTTAATCTTAAAATACCTTACGTATTTAAATACATTCGAGCACACAACCTTTGAAAGATACCAAATACAACTGAAACTATGTTTTGAATGGATATTAATCTAAATTCAGATTTGGAGTGCAGAAAAGTTTTGGGTTGGACCAGAAAATCAAGCGGTGTTTGGGGGAACTGAATCAAATAAAAAGAAAATTTGTTCCACAATACGCACACACGCACACACACATAGAATTGGTTGCTTTGGCAAGAAATGAGAAGGGTACGGTGCAGATTGAGACAAATACCTCCCAAGAAAGCGCAGCCGCCATTTTTTCTACCCACACCAACTGCACTTACATTGTCCAAATTGTTATCTGCTTCCTTTCCCTTAATATTTATACCACCATCACCATCGTCATCATCATCGTATCTTTCACTTCAGTTTAGTTCCTGCTCCTTGATCGGCACAGGCATGAGTGACCCAAAACCCAAGTTTTTGGAGGTCTACTCTGTACTCAAATCAGAGCTTCTTGATGATCCGGCCTTTGAATTTACCGATGATTCTCGCCAATGGGTGGAACGTGTAATTCCCTCTCTCTCTTTTTTTTCTTTCTTTGTTGTCAATTGTTTGCATTGAGCTATTTTTGTTCTAAAATCTAAAGCTGTACCCTTTCTGGGTTTTTTATTTGGATGCTCTCGGTTCAAAGAACAGGTACTAAAGTTCTTTTTTTGCAGCATTAATTCTATGTGTGTGTGCGTGTGTGCAGTAGTCCCGGAAAGTTTAGAATTTTTCGTGAAAACAAAATGAAAAAGAGAAGTGTTTTTAGCTGATTCTTAAGAATTTCCCGGGGTTCAGCTACTGTATCAATCCCCCATTAATTAATTTTATCTTGTAAGCTTTGTATAGTTTCTGTTCCATGACTTCTTGCCATCCCTCTCCTTTATTTGTGGGTAGTATGTTATGAATAATAGTGAATCATGATAGTCTGTTTCTCCTCTTTGTTGCAGATGCTAGATTACAATGTACCTGGAGGTATGGATTCGGTTAATGTTCATCGTTCGAAATAAAAAACGATAAGTGAACTGTATTTTTATGAGCGTGTTCACTGATTTTGTTGTTGGCAGGAAAGCTGAACCGAGGCTTGTCCGTCATTGATAGCTACAGGTTGTTGAAAGATGGGAAAGAGCTGAGTGATGATGAATTGTTCCTTGCATGTGCCCTTGGTTGGTGCATTGAATGGGTGTGTTTTAAGGATGCATAATCTTCACTGATATTTCTTCTCATTTTCATCCATAGTTGCAACAGTTGTGTTGCTTTTGTTGGACTGGAATCAACTTTTCCTTTCTAACATTGAACAGCTTCAAGCATATTTTCTTGTTCTTGATGATATAATGGATGGCTCTCATACACGCAGAGGTCAACCATGTTGGTTCAGGCTTCCTCAGGTATGATGTAACAAGTGTGTTCCTCCTAATGTTACAACAAAATCATGCTAGTTCTTTAGTGATTTCGAGGGATACATCAGTTTGCAAACTGGTTGAGCCTCACGATGGAGTTAGACTCGATATAGCCGGTAGGTTAACTTTGTCAATCATGTGGAAATTAACTTCTGAAAGTTTCATTGTAGGTTGGGTTGACTGCTGTTAACGATGGGTTGATTCTGCGTAACCAGATCTTCAGAATTCTCAAGAGGCACTTTAGAGGAAAACCTTATTACGTGGATTTGCTAGATTTATTCAACGAGGTGAGTTTGTTGTTTGCACCGGCTGCAGACAACTGATGTCCACTCACTTTCGATATAATCAGGTTCCGCTGATGTATCTGAACTATTTTTATATAGGTGGAATTTCAAACAGCCTCAGGGCAAATGATAGACTTAATTACAACACTTCAAGGGGAGAAAGATCTCTCAAAGTACTCATTGCCAATGTAAGAGAGTATTTGAAATTGTTGCATTTATTGTAACTTTAGTGCAAATGGTACTCTTTTCATCACTTTTTAACACATCAAATGGTGTGTTTCATGCAGCCACCGCAGGATCGTTCAGTACAAGACAGCTTACTACTCATTTTACCTTCCGGTGAGTAACTTTCTACGTTATAAGTCATTTCCCCCATGATTTGCTTCTAGCTACGACTTGGCCATTCGTTTTTTAGGCATTTAACTTCATACATATTGTCATTTCATTGTATCAATGCTTCCATATTCTTGGACAAGTGATAACTGGTATTAACTAAACAGTGCAGTTTTATATCACAACGTGTTTAATCTACTTTGACATTTCATTGCTTCTGTTTTCTCCACCAAAACCAGGTTGCATGTGCATTGCTTATGGCTGGGGAGAAACTTGACGATCATACTGATGTGAATAATGTCCTTGTTGAAATGGGGACCTATTTTCAAGTACAGGTGACCGATAATTTCCAGATTTGTTTTCCTGTTCGTTTAGAACGGAACTTTCTAAAATAAATATCTTTTGTTGGAAAAGTATCTCTGCCAACCATTAGGTAATCGAACATCTTTTATTCTCTGGTGTTCACCTAAAGAACTTATTTTGTAGGATGATTTTCTAGATTGTTTTGGTGATCCTGAGGTAATTGGCAAGGTGAGTATCGGGGAGGTGCTAACAATACGAGGTCTGTGTCTGATAATGCAATTGGTTTGATTTGTTTAGTGTTTACTTTTTTTCTACTCTATTAGGTTGGAACTGATATCGAGGACTTCAAGTGCTCTTGGTTGGTTGTAAAAGCTCTGGAACGTGCTGACGAGGAGCAAAAGAAGTTGTTATATGTAAGCAGGAATATATTTATATTTATATACATTACACAATAGTTTGGAGTTGCTTTACCTATATGTGTTTGATTACCAGGAGAATTATGGAAAAGCTGATCCAGCATGTGTTGCCAAAGTGAAAGAGCTCTATCAAACCCTTGATATTCAGGTTTGTCCTGGTCCAATCTGCTTATGCTCCGCATTCATGAACTCGATATTCGTTTGGTTGATAGACACACGGTACACTACTTGCAGGGTGCATTTGCGGAGTATGAAAGCAAGAGTTACGAGAAGATAACGAAAAAAATCGAGTGTCATCCAAGCAAAGCAGTACAAGCTGTGCTGAAATCATTTCTGGCAAAGATCTACAAGAGGCAAAAATGAACAAACTTTAGCAGAGCAAAGAAGAATAAAACTAGCAGACTATGAATTTGCGTCTATTAAAGATTACAAACATTAAGCATTCTTTTTTCTTCTTGTAGGCGACGCTGAGTAAAACTGGTGTTGTGTACGTCTCTCTCATTTTGGTATTTTCTCAGCATAAAACAGTTCAAGTAGGGTGTCATCGAGCTGAGTCAAGTCCGAATAATAGCAAGAGTTCAAGCTCGACTCAATATTCGAAGCTTGATACTCGGTTAGAAATTTATTGAACGTCAAAATATAAGCTTATGTTTGACTCGAAATCTATTCTAGCTACCCGAGCTCGATTATCAATTGTTTTGCTCAAGCTTAATTATTCAAAATAAAATACTACTAACATGAAAACTATGTAACCATAAAGTAACGTTATGGACTTGAATTTAGTACAAGAATGTTAATGAGATTAACAAGCGGACATGGATTTTTAAATCTGAAGTAGAGGACTAAGTTCCTGATGATAGAAGTATGAGGATTAAATTATACGAGTATAAAGAGTACAGGGACCTAGAGCATATTTTAACCTAAATGATAATCCTTTTCTCTTCTATAATAGATCGTAAAACACGTTGGTAGAATGTTAGAGATAGAATTAATGAACGAATGAATGAGATTTAGATGGCGAATTATAAGCAGTGTGGAGTAATTATCGTTAAGGCAAAATATAGAAATAAATGGTTACAAAATTTAACTATTTTTCGTTCCTCACATCGGTATTTCTCCATTGGAATCATATTACAAATATATAAATATATATCAAATAAAGATAAAGGCATGGGCGAAACAAAGCCTCCAGCGATGGAGCTAAAGGGCAAGGAGTTATACGTGACGGAACTGAGCTTGGAGGAAATCAAGAAGCACCCCACGGTGCATGTGTCACCAAGGGCGGCCAAAGTGAACAAGGCATCGACACCGTCGGGGAGGTCCAACTGCCTATGCTCCCCCACCACGCATGCGGGCTCCTTCAGGTGCCGACACCATCGAGTTTCCGGCATGTCGAGGGGCGGCTCCATCGGATCTAACCTGTCTAACCTTGCTCTGATCCGCCATCACCACAAATCACCTGAACCCATCACTGATAATCTCCAATCTCAGACCAGCTTTTAACAATATATACACACACATGCACACCAAAATATTAGTATTATTATTGTTTCAATGTACATGTAATCTACTCCTCAAATGTATCATCTTTTGCTCCATCTTACACTATAGTATTAATATTCAAGTTGTAGGCACTGCATTGCATGCCTCTAAGGAGCCTGTTCATATTACATAATATTAAAATTTTCTTCAAAACTTGACATTTATTATTATTTGATTACTTCCTATGTTTTGTCCTTTGTTGGAATGATACTTTATTAGAAAATTTTGAATATAGAGACTAATATAAACTCCAATCCATAGTTCAGGGAATTTTATTGAAATTAACCCTTTTAATCAATTAATTGATTTATAATGTATTTGCCATTTTTGTTTATAAATTAACTAATTCCAAACATTCCTATTTTTCATTTCTGCAAATTATTGAAATCCCCACTTCCTCTTCAGTTCCACTCCCATCACCACCGATTTCACAGATTTTCTAT